TGTCAAGGGGGTAATCTTGCCTTATTGTTTTACCTTCAAGAAATATTGTTGTCTTCTTTTTCTTTCCTCCTAAGGGAGTAATTGTTGGCCAAACTTGTGGGTTTGTCATAAGTTAGAAACCTGGTGCACCATATTTTTAATTGCTTTGTAGTGTCGTAGGGTAGGTGTCTTTAATTAGAAATACAACATTATTTGAGGAGGTATAGTTTATTTGTGGAAGAACATAATGTCCAGACGTGATGCAGATTGCTTGTTGTATGCATACGTTTAGGACTTTAGGTTGTAACTACGTTAGAATCAGCAAGCGTAAACTTCAAGATATGGTGTATATGGTTCGAGCTAGTTCATTTTCTCTCTTCACTTATGCATGCATCTCCACTGAAGTCATAGTGTATGTAGTTTCAGATCCTGTGCTCTACCTTTCTTGTTTAATTTACCCTCGTGTATATGCAGGCCAATGCTGATGATTCAGAAGCGTCAGCTGTGCGTTCTGTTGTAAATTCGCTAGTCAAGTTGGAGAGTTTGAAGCCGGGATCTTCTGAAGTTTTTGTCAGCAAATTGCTTCAGCGATTAGCAAGGTTTCACTAATTGTCTTTTTTTTTCTTGTCCTATTCTTTCCGACCACTGAAATGGTGGCCTGTGGTCTAGAGGACTTATAGAAGAAAACCTTTGCAGTTCAAAAGGTCCAAAGGAATCCCCATTGAAAGATCTACAGGAGTTGGCTGCTCACATCTTCGCTAAGGGCAAGACAGCTGCTGGAGAAACACAAAATGCAGAAACTGATAACAAGAAAAGGCAGCAGAACAAGGAATTTCAATCCAACGCAAACATAAGCCCACTCGCAAGATTTTTGCTCTCAAGGTTAGCGAAGTTGTTTCTCTCTCATATTCCTTTTTTCACCTTATCAGACACTGTTTGTGGTGTAAAAAGAAGAAAAACTAAAAGGTTTCCCTCGAGTTTTAGTTTCTAAAGAATTGAAAGCGTGCTAAACCTTTCGTGCAATTTTCATCAAAAGGAATTGAACCATCATTTGGAATGAGTTGTCGGAGTTTCCAGATTTCATCATTTAAAAAGAAACCTGAACGTTTCAATATCAATTGTTTGTTTGCTACCTACCATGGTGGGTAAGGTGTGCCATGCGGGCCTAGGGCCAGGCTCAACACCCTAATCACTTTAATACCCGCTTGATTACTAACGTAAACAAGAGAAGCGTATGAAAAGAGAGCCAATAATTAAAAAATACGGAGATCAAGTCCTTCGAGTTGAGATATCTTTGTCAGTTAAATTACTTTTCCTCGAGGAAATTGTTTTCTCCGTAATTTTCCTTCAATACAAACATGTAATGCCTTAATTAAATGTTTGATGCAGATGGCAAGGGCAAGTCTCACGCGATCTCAACCCGGTTTGAAAGAGGTTCGAGTAGCGATTGGATATTTATTTTTGTAGTGTGATTCCTGTTTATGCATTATACTGGTTTGATGTACATATCAGTGTAAGAAATTGTGCATTTTTCATCTGTTATGATTAATTTTTTTACTAACATTTTTGTTTGGGAGTAGCCAGCATTGAGTATAATTAGGGGTTTGCTATTGTTTTATCATCGTTGTAATGTTACCAAAATTGGTTATATTTATTCATAATCATATTATTGGTCGTGGTTTAGCCTTAGCCCGCCTTTTGGCGAAGGTTCGGTTTTTGTGCTGGTGAAACTATAAACATCACTGCAACTGCAACGGAAGAGTTGCAGAGTTCAAATCTCATGAACGAGAGTTGGTTTTTTCAACACAAGATGTTCATATAATATAATGCAGAACTTGGGGATTCAATTTTGCAATTAACATGAGAAACTAATGAAAAAGGCTTGAAAATTTTGAATTTTAACGATAAGGACAAAATAAAGAGTAAAGTGAACAATATCATGTTTGATTTTTCAGTGTAAAAATGTGGTTTTTCGTTAAAGTGAACAGTACCGTAGGCTTTTCGTTAAAAGTTCCTTAAAAAAATGCTTTCAATAATATTGAAGTATATTTCAAATTTGATTGTTAAGTATGTTTTTATTATACAAGTGATTATAATTTAAATTGTACGAGAGAGGTTCAAAGATCGATGTAAAGTGGTGCAGTTTCGCTTTTGGCAATGTGATTACGTCGACACTTGTAACGCTTTAGATATCTTTACCTACTTAGAATGAGATAATTCATGAATCAGAATAATAAGAAATATGAAAAAGAAGAATAGCAAATGAGATCTACTACTCTCCCTTGATCAATCTAAATTCCTAGAATTTCATATTCCTTTTGTGAAATTGAATGTTGATGGGGTAGCTAATTAGGATGTAAGAGCAGTTCCACCCCTAAGGACTTTGTGCCAGCACCCAGCCCATTTATCCACTTCAGTGAACAATAATATACTCCAATGAACAGTAATAGACCAAAGCATCTCCACCCCTAAAAAAATACGTTGGCACCTAGTCTAAAAATGCGATGGCACAAACGATCTCCACCCCTACAAAATGCGCTGGCACCCAGCCCATTTTAAATATTATTAATTTTTTTATAAAATAATAAATAAATAAAATTGTTTTAATTTCGAATAGGATTTTTAACCAATCTCATCACGCTACGTGTCATTATCCAATGTACTATTTTAAGTTTATGTAATTTTATTTATTGTGTTTTTTTTAAAGTTTATTTGGTGAGGTTATGTAAATTTAATTGGTGTTTTTTATTTTTAAGTTTATTTGGTGAGTTTATGGTGAGTTTATGTAATCTTATTTGATGAGTTTATGTAATCTTATTTGGTGAGTTTATGTAATATTATTTGATGTGATTAAATAAAGTACAAAAAATAAATTTGAAATTGCATAAAGTTCTAAAAATAAAGACGAAATTACATAAAGTACTAATAATAAATAAGAAATTACATCTATTAATAAAAATAAAGTACTAAAAATAAAGACGAAATTACATAAAAATTACATAAGAAATTAAATAAAGTACTACAAATAAATACGAAATTATACAAAATCTCCGGAGCTAGGATATGTGGTGTTAGGATCTTCGTTGTAGGAAGGATTTGTGTAGCTGGAACCCCCTCGACTTGTTTCCGCATCTCTTGCACGCCTCCTTCACATGACCTCTTTTTTTTCCGATGTCCAAAAATATTTTGAATTTGGAGATAGTCCTACTAGAGGCTTGTTCATAGTGTCACGATCAGCTTGAGCCATCCTTTCTTCTCTAAGCATCTCATTTTCTCGATTAAGTGCTTCTCTAATCATCTCGTTCTCTCAATTAGCTTTTTCTCTTTGTCTCTCAGCCGCTGCATCACGTCTCTCAGTAGCTACTAATATTGTTGCCATAGCAGCAGCTTTTTCCTCATCTCTTGCCTTTTCCTGTGCCATCCTCAGTTCACCTTGGTGAGCAAGTTCCTCCCTATATTTAGTGTAGTCATTTTTGGAAGAATTACCTTTTTTCTTTGATGCCTTTTTACCTTGAGGCCTAAGGGACTGACGAGTCAGTTGGGTCTCTGGCACTTCTTCAAGCATCCCTTCCATCTCACAAAATGTGTCAGTTTCTTGTTCGGTCGTGTTTGCTTCTGGTGAACTATGTAGACCCATACTGTGCATGACAACTTATGGACCAATTGCCATAATTTTGTATATGGGGCAATCTTTGACAATTTGCCAACATTCCTATTTGTTGAATGATTTGTTATGGTTCTTTGCATTGTAGAATGCTTGTGCTTGTAGTGTCTATATATGTGGGATAAGATAGTATTAAAAAATGCGGGTGTAACACACATAAATAAATTAAAATATTGATGCGGGTGGAATGCATATAAATAAATAAAAATATTGTCACCTGATCCGCTAAACTTGTCCCACTACGCAGATTACCAAAAGCATGAGAGATGGCGTTTTTCCAACAAGTAAAGGATGCGTTGAGTTTTTTCCAACGGCCTTGAAGACTTGAACTACTTCTGGCATCTTTTTCATGTACATCGCAAAACACTTTTGTAATTTACTCCACATTTCTCACTTATCCATCTCATTACCCGTAATCGGGTCATGAGTAGTGTGCACCCAACATTCACACAACGTAACATCTTCAATGAGCTTTCACGAAGTCATTTTTTCTCTCTCAAAGTGTAGAAAATATTGAAATGTTGAAAGTGTAAAAAATATTGAAATGTGGTGTAAGGTGGAAGATGAGGGTTAGGTATTTATAGAAAAAAAAAAGTATTTTAAAAATTTTCTGTATATTTTTTAATTTTTTAATAATTTTTAATAAATTTTAATGTATTAATTTATCTGGACCGTTGGATTTGAAAAATATTCAAATCCAAGAGCCAAGGAGCTGCCACATGGCCAACGGTCATAATTCTGACCGTTGAGCCTTTATTTTTATTTTTATTTTTAATTTTTGGGGGAAAAATTGTGGATCGTTGATTTGTGATCGAACGGTCCAATTTAAAAGTAAAATTCAATTTTCTTTTACCGTTGGAAATCCAACGGTCTAGAAAAACTAGTCGTTAAAAATCCAACGGCATAGAGAGGGCCATGTCGCCTACTTCCGGGTGAAGAACAAGTGGGCTGACAGCGGGCCTCGCCGCCTGCACCCTTGTCCCCTACTCGTGCCCACGTGCGAGTAAGCTACACACGCCAGCCAAATATGCCAGTCCCTAGGTCAGTAAAAAATGGGCTGGTCCCTTGCCTGGCTTGGGCTGGGTGTCAGGCAGTTTTGTGGGCTGGAGTGGATTAACAGACCCCCAATTTGGTTTTTTGATTGGGTGCTGGGCTATTCCACCTCCGGTGGAACTGCTCTAAGTTTGCGAGGTTTTATTTTCAAACGAGTTTGGTCCGGACCCTCTAATTTTAGACCCGCCCCGACCTCTGCCCACCCTGGTTAGTACGGAATAGTGACGGCGCGGCTTGTAAACCCGTGCAAGTGCAATACTGGGCCAAATTTTGCGAAACCCAAAAGCCCCACTAAAAGGGAGAAGCACACATTTTTCCTTATGAAATCAAACACTTGGCCTTGTGCGGTTCATAGAGGAGAGGGACATGGCTGCCACCAGCTTCTTAGCAGCGTCACTTGTAAGAAGAGCAGCTGTGGCTTTTGCTCTCTCGCATCCTCTTCTTCTGACAAGCAGCAAGCTTTCTTGCCGCAGGACCCTTATCTCCTTTCCTCTCACTCCTCGCTTAAGTTCTTCAGGTACTGCGAACAAATCCCGCTTTTGGGTACTTGATTATTTAACGTAAATCATGTTTCTTTCCCTCTCCACTGTCTAATTTCTTGTAATTTTGACTACCCATTTGGTTGAATTGTGGATTGGATAAGTTGAAATGGTTATCAAACAAGCCATTATTTTTGTATCTGATGATCTGCTACGTAATCACTGGATTACTGTCCTTGATACAGCTTCAGGAATATGCCATTTAGCTCAAGCTATAAAGGGGGATGTTGATGGTTTGCTTAAGGGAGTGGCAGACAAAACTGTTATTGAAGAAGTAAAACGTGTTCTCGAGATGGTACTTCAAAACTTGTATTACCTTCCTTATCAAGACCATATTTTTTGTTTCTTAATTTAACCCTTCCTTTTAGAGAGACTTATGAAGTCCAGATTTTTGGACCGTTTGAAATGAGTATAAGCTTATTTATCACGTAAAATTGACAGATGAATGTAAGGTCACATCGAATAGCTGAATAGGTTTCACCTTATTTTAGAGATGTTTCTAAGTTGTCATTCTTGGTTTTTCATTTTTTTTAGGCTAGACGTGCATCATCGAGAAGGGAGGTTCTCCATACAAATTTCCTCACCCCTCCAGTGGTGAAGGAGTCAATGCTAGCATTGGAAAAGCTAGCTGATCTGAAAGCAGTTGTTCAAGGCGGATACCCGCAGGTTGAACTAAATAGTGTTTGCTCTGTGTCGCGCTTGTGCAAATCAAAGTGTAATTTTATTAATTAACATATTGCAGCTTCAAATTGTCTAGGCTGAGCGGTGTCGGATTTCTGTAGGACATCCGGAAGTATTGACAAGTGATCCTGATGTAATTGCAGCATTGAGGTATTAATATTGTGTCTGTACCACTTTTATTTATCCAAGAATTCATCTTTAATTGAAGTGAAACCTTATCTCAAATTTTCTCTAATGGTTCTTCCAGTATCACAGGAAACTTTGGGTTCCAGCCTTGTTCTCATGGTGATTTCCTAGGCGCAATTCTTGGTACAGGAATTGCTAGGGAGAAGCTTGGAGATATTATCTTGCAGGTATCATTTGTATTTTTTTCGTTAAGCGTTTAACTGTTGGTCAAATTTTCCAAGGAGAAGGGTCATTATGTTTTATATGGAGACTATGATAAGAATTTCCACTTCTGTAACAACAGAGCTAAAAGCATGTCAACCTTTGCCTCAACTTATTAGTGGTTACTTCGTATGGGATTTCAATGTCAGGATTTGGATGTCTGTATCCTATATTAGTACGTGGATGTGATAATGGCATTACATAGTGTTGCTCTGTGGTCCTGCCATAGCAGGGCTATATCTTTTCAATGTATTTATAGAGGTATTAAACTGAAACATCAACCTTTAAGTACAGTACTGTCTTAGAGCTTTCAGTTGGATACCGCCGTGCTAATTGATCATTTTGTAATTCCCACTGATGCATTTAGTATCCATTATTTTGGAGTTTGGATCTTTTTTCCTATTTATGAGGGATATGGCCTGGTTGGATCAAGTCTTTATGAATTTTTATTTCTTCTGTAATGCTTCTAGGGGGAGAAAGGAGCTCAAGTCATTGTTGTTCCAGAACTTGTTGACTTCATTATATCATCACTCGACAAGGTTGTCTAACATCCTAGTATTTTGTTTCTTGTGATTTGTTTTTCCTCGTTAACGTCAATAAAATTCTGGGTTTATCTCCTTTTTGTCCTTTTGGTTCCTTACATAAGATTGAAATCATCTCTTGTGCAAATTGTATTTTTGAATGAGTTACATCTCAGGCCATTATTGTTTGATTTATCAAAAACATCTGAAAGAAATATTGTGGCATTAATATTTTAGTGATCATTGCAATGTACATTGAGGAGATAAAATGTTGGCAATTAATAAACAAAGAGAAAAGAATGGTACTACATTTTCTAGTATGAAAAGAGAAGCGTTTTTCACAGAATCACAGGTTAAGATAGCTATGTATATCATAATATTTAAGCGTACATGTTTAATGTTTGTAAACGGTTTTTCACCTTGCAGGTTGGTAATGTGCCTGTATCTTTTTCTAGGATACCACTGATTTCTCTTGATTACGAACCTCCAAGGTTGCAAATTATCATATTGTTATCCTTTTTCCATTCTGCATAATGCAGTATCATTAGTAACTTAAGTATCATGCTCTCTTTGCAGGACTAAGTCATTCAAAACCATAGAAGCATCAGTGAGAGTTGATGCTATAGCTAGTGCAGGATTTAAGTTATCACGGACAAAACTAGTTGATCTGATTCGGTACAGTCTTTTCACTTATACTGAACTCTCCCTCGAATTATAGTTTATTGCAATTTCGTTAAGCTTTACTAAGTTAGTTAATCCTATTTTGTTGGTTTACTTCTTAGTTAGATGGGTTCTTTTGTTTTCTTCATAATCAGGAATCCACTCATCCATCAAAAATAAAGCACGCACTTATAAGTGTTTGATGCTTACTGTAGGAAAAGATCTACAAGCTCAAAATTTGTTTTTTTTGCTTTGTTACTTACTAATACCATACTCCGAATATAATCAAACATGATGTGCATCACTGGATTTTCATCATAGCCGAAAGAATTTTGGAAACTGAGAACATGGTATAAAGTTTTTTCTTATCTGTGCAGTGATGGTGATGTGCGTGTGAACTGGACCCCTGTTACTAAAAATGGAGCTACACTCAAAACTGGTGATATTGTGTCGGTTAGAGGAAAAGGAAGACTAAAGGTGAGTTTCCGTAATTAAGAAAACTACTTTTCTTTATCAAATTACTTATCTATATAGCACCATACATGAAACACATTGATACATCTTGTACAGTTCCTGATACCTTTCCAGTATTTTTGCAAGTAGAGCTTTTGGATCTGAAACCGTATCCCGTTCTTATATGTTAGAGTAGTATAGAACTGTATTATTAATATTATCGAAGTTGCGAGCACTTACTATATGTTATAATCCACTATATGCACTCTTCACTAACTAGACCCTGGCTATCATTTTGCCATGACACTGGTGAGGGTGTAAGGCTACCCAAATAACAAAGGTTATGATTGACCATTGTTTGATTGGAGATGCTTTCGTAGTTATATTACTGTAATTTAACAGTGTATTATTTTACATTATTACCCTCACCAAATATGCCCTAATTTGTTATAGAGTTTGACCGTCAGCATAACCATCTCCTGTGTTTAAGTTCATGTTTAACTCTTAATACGTCTTTAGCCTGACAGTTCTGATGTTCAAATTTACATTGGTTCAGATAGGAGAAATTAACCCTACGAAGAAGGGGAAATTTGCAGTTGAACTCATTCTTTATCTGTAAGTTTTCGAAAGGGGGGACAATCTAACATTACTGTTCATGGGATCTAAACGAGCCTTGAGGTGGCATTTTTGTAGCCTAAAACCCAGAGGTGTTCTTCCAAAGATCAAGCGTATGCTGCATCGAAGTTTGGCTCTATTTTGTAAGTCCAAATGTGTACATATTTACATTTTCCTTACTGTTTTAGTTTGGTACATTATTTGTTGTATTATCTTATACAAAAATTAAGCAAATACCGTTTAGAGACTTTCCAACTAACAAACAACACAAAACAAAAGAAACTATCTTTTTGCTCTTGTGGGTGCATAAAGTAGCCATCTATTTATTCATTTCAATTATCTTTAAACTCTTTGGCATGAAACCTTTGAATGTTCAGCCATATCCACAAGTTGAAAAACACATGTCACTCTGCGGGAGCATTCCTTATCGCACTTGCCGCAATTGTTTACATTGTTAACAACGTTGTTGCATTTTCCACTACCAAAAAGCTCTCCAAGCTTGCACTTATACCCACATTGCCCGCAGTGATTCCTATCTCCGAGAACATAGGACACAGAGTCTTGCAGCAACAGAGAAGACTCGCCCCTTTGTTCTAATCCACTTCGCACATTCCATGTGGACAGATTTAAGTGCATAATCTGGGTCTCTTCCTCAGTGTGCTACTTCATTTTTGTTTCTTCTTCAACGGATTTCGTTTAGGTCAATGGCTATTCACTATTTGGTTTCTAGGAAAGTGAGGGAAAAATCGCCTCTACCTTTTGTTTTTACAGTACGCAAGGGTATCCCTGAATTTTACGAACGTTAAATGGAAAGTACCAGAGTCAAGCACGAAGCTTTGAGGTTATCTGATAGCTGTCTTTGATGTACTGTTGAAGTTACATGATGAATATTGTTTTGTATATATATATATATATACATATATATAACAGTGCAGCTGCAGATGAGATAAACCTTAGTATACATAGTATTTCATCTGCACTATTTTGGTAATCCGGGGTAATTTTTCTCCTAAGGCAATAGATATCATGGCTGCTTCTTTGGGGTTACAGATTTCGCATCATATTGGTTATGGTATCATGCACGTGAGCCTCACATGTGAAGCTAAAATCATCATTTTCTCTTGATCAACCATTTAACGTTAGAAGCTCAAAACTAAAATTCATTCATAGTCACTCTCCATAGCAGAACGATGAAATGTGGGTTACTTGTCTCGTAGCCATCGATGTGGGTATTCAAATACGAACCAGCCTCACTCATTTCAATTGACGATTTCAGTTCACGCATTCCAGTTCGATTTGATGAAAAACGTAACACCCACGCCGCTATTTCATTGTTCCTGAATGGAGAGCTGACATGAACGTTGAATGACAATTTTAACCGCACGCGTAAGGTTCACGTGCAGGTTATTAATAAAAAATAATGAAGTTTCAATTTCGAACAGGTTATTAATAAAAAATAATGGAATTTTCAATTTTGAACATCAATCGTAACGGATTCCATCACAAAGATTTAGTTCAGTAATGTTTTCAACATAGGCTATCTTCCGAATACCGATCGAGAACCATTTATCTAATCCGCCTTTTAACTAACTAGGGTGGTGATTACACTTTGATTTTCAAGAATGTCAGGCGGTTTGCTCAGACACCTCGCTTACACTCTCACCTCCCGCTGCTTCACCACCGTCTCTCGCCCTCTCGCTCCCCCATTCTCCTCCCGCTTCTTCCCCAAACCCAGACACCTCTCGCGGCCCAATTCCCTCGCCGCCGCAAATATTTCCGCTGCTTCTTCGGACCCTCCCACTCCCTCCGCCGAGCCCAACGAGCCCTTCGCTTCGCCTTTCCTCTCCGTTCAAATCCGCTGCCAAAAACATGTCGCTGTGAGTTGGGTTTCTTCTTTCTCTTCTTCTTTTGGTGCATTTAGTTCAGTTACTGCGATTCCAATGAAAATGTTATGGGCATGTTTGGTGACAGAGATTGTATATGTTGTGTATATTCAAATGGGAACTCAGAAAATTATGGAGAGAAAACTGATTCTGTATGGAATTTGTTGTCTGTATTGAAATGGGTACTCAGAAGATTTTTATTTTAACTTCTTAAATTTTTTTTTCTTACCAAATGTAGAAATTTACATATTGTGAGGATGTGACGATTTTCCCACGTCGGAAAGTAAGAAACTTCGTAAGGGCTTATAAGGAGTTGGGCCGCTTCCGCTAATGCCAATTGATTTTAAGATGGAATCTCAACTTCTTTCATTATTATGTCATTTTGCTTGGATTTGGAAGAAATTTACTGTTTTTTACTCGTCGTAATCAATCAAGTTGAAGTTTACAACTTTACATGTCACTTAATAGAAAAGATGAGGTCTTGGAAGTAGACGCATGAAGTTGAGACTATGAACTTGTTAAGTCAGCTAAGGCTCTGTTAAGTTAAAGACATTACAATGCCTAACCAACTTGGTTGTCCTTGTTGACCAGGAAATACTTTCAGAAGCGCTGTTATGTTTTGGTGCAAGTTGTACAAGTATTGACGAAGAAGATGACAATGACCGAAAGGACGAGGTGGATTCCCTGTTGATTTATGACGTTTCATTTGGAATGCTATTTACTTGTCTTTATGTTTTGAAAGCTTTTTTCACTGTGCTACGTTTCTGGTGTAAGATGATTTTGCAAATGAACAACTGATGAGAATGTGCCTTTTTTCTTATGCACAGATCTGCATTGATTCCATATTTCCTGAAGGCGAAGATGTAAAAACCTGCATTTCACGTGCTGCTGATTCCATAAGTTTGAAAGAGATGCCTAGTTATGAAGTTAAGATGGGTGAGCAGTTCGACTGGATAAAGAAAACTCAGGTTAATTTGCTTGTAAATTCTGTCCTATCAGAAAGTATTTCTTAGTCGTTATCCTCTTTGGTGAGATATCTTTTGCTAATGTTTGTAGAATGATAAATCAGTTTCACTAGTACGAACTTATTATAGCTCTATTGCTGTTTTAAACAGTATACGGGTATTTATTGGCCAAAAGAAAGACAATATACAGAATGTTCAAGCATGTAGTACTTTAAACCAGTAAATATGCTCGGTGGTAATTTCCTCTTGGCCATATTCTCTAGGCATTATTTTTTTAATCTGCTTTTCCATTATTGTTTACAGGAATCATTCCATCCTGTTGAAGTTACCGAAGGACTTTGGATTGTGCCTGAGTGGAGAATTCCCCCGGTATGATAGTATTAGACTTTTTCTTCTAGTTTCAAACTATTTTTTGAAAGGGTTTGTTTGCTATGGTTGTTCATGATGTATTGACAACTTAAAAGTGGTTGACACCTGATCACATGTTCCAGAAAATTCCACGTCCCAATGCTAAAAAATTATTGAAACTTCTTAGCAGACACATGATCTCAGGCACGTCTGCGTGTATGTGTTTATGCCTTTCTCTTCATTATTTGTCTTAATGCTTAAATGATGCCCAGTTACTTGCTCTCTTCTTATGCCAGTTACAGATTATGGTTCTAATCATTACTACAAAGGAGAATGTGACGGCTAGAATTTCTGTTGACATAATGGAATGAATATAGTTAAGTTTGTTTATCTCCTACAGGATGCCCAAGCAACAAATATAATTTTAAATCCTGGATTGGCATTTGGAACTGGGGAGCATGCTACTACTAAGTTATGTCTATTGCTGCTCCATGGATTGATAAAGGGGAGAGAATCATTCTTGGACTATGGCACAGGTTCTGGAATTCTCGCAATCGCTGCAGTTAAGGTATTTAACTAATCTTGTAAATGATGTTGCTGAGTAACCCCATCCACTTGATCTTTGCACATTTCATTATTGTGATGTAATTCCTTCCAACTGATGTTGGTTGCCGACTAATGCTCAAATCACAGTTTGACGTTAATATGGCATTTTGACTGTAAACACAGTTCGGTGCTGCCTTATCAGTCGGAATTGATATAGATCCCCAAGCAATCACCTCGGCACGCCAGAATGCTGCTCTGAACAACATAGGACCTGAAAAGATGCAATTGCACCTGCTCCCCAGCAAAACTAGCTCTACCTTGGAAGATCCATGTGAAGTTGTGGAAGATCGGAGCTCATCTGGAGTGGAAACCATCTTAGAATCAAACAAGTATGACGTAGTCATCGCAAATATACTTTTGAATCCCCTATTAGATTTGGCGGATCATATCGTCTCTTATGCAAAGCCTGGGGCAGTCGTCGGTCTTTCTGGCATTATCTCTGAGCAGGTATCATTCTAGCACAGGTGATGGATTGTTAATGTCATTTGCTTGCTAAAGTTCAAGGAAAATATTTCCAATTACATCTCCGTAAACTTATATCCTGGAAAATGAAATGAGATAAAAAAGGGCAAGGGGATAGATTTTAGGTTAAATGTTGCTTGGTAACCTATAGGGAAATTTTCCAAATTGATGAAGCTGCCAACCGAAGGTTTAAGTATCAGTTTCTTAAGAGATCTTTAGCTTGGCTGTGCAAACATGGTGGTTTTCTTTCGATCCACCATGAATTTCACTCAGAAATTCAAAATAAATTTGGTATATTGGGTTATACATAGGTTCCTCGACCTGATTTCGTTGTGTCCTTTTGTGTCTGCAGCTTCCACGTATCGTAGAGCGATATTCACAGTTCTTAGAAGACCTATCGATTACTGAGATGGATGACTGGGCCTGTGTTCAGTGGAACAAAGAAACAGAACCTTTCCGAAAGCTGAGATAACTTTCTGCCATTTCAATGTTGACTGTACAATGTGATAAACGAGTCGGACAGTATTGTGAATTGGCGGGGGCTTCTATGAGAAGCTGATGGTGTCTGGTCATTCACAATGTTTGGTGATACAGGGCAGCGAGGGCACACCTGCTTTGGAAAAAAAAAGAAACAGCAGTGATCCGTAACAACCTGTATGCAGCTTCTTCAGTTTTGTTTTCGAACAGCTTCTTTCCTTGAAGAAACTCTTTTCACCCGGGAGTAGGTCAGATGATCTTGCATTGTAATCGGGTTTCTCTTGGCCGAGCAACAATGACCGGCGTCGATGTTTTACAGAGATGCCTCGTTTCCAAACACAGATATTGACAACTTCAGGAGCTTGAATCTACCTTATAATTTTCATGTAATTCCTGTATGGACTGATAGAGCTGGCTCAGATGCCGGCTAATAAACGTTATTTCAGCTATTTAACCGTAGAAAAAGGATTCGACACACGCAGTGTACTGTTCTGAACATATTATTTCATCATTATTCATTTAATATCTGTGAGCAACTCACATAAACAAGAAAAAGAACACCAAAGAGATAAAGCATATCAATGTCATTAAACCAAAAAGTGTGAGATGATATAACTACCAAAAACGACTACTAAACCGCGGATTTCAATATTTTTCTCGGATGAAAATGTCTGCTAGAAGGCCAATTACATCGTGCAATGCATCACTTGTCCGATAAAATACAGCCCCTTTGTATGCAACGCTTTAACCAAGAGCGAATAGTGCACACCAGAACGATGATCATACGTCACCGCTTGAGTTGCCTCCTCGCCAGAGCAGGAGCTTTCTTAGGGATGTAAACCTTGTAACTCACCTGCCGAAAAAATATTAGAACATCGTTGAAACGGAAGCAGAAAACGTGTGCCCTTCATGGACATCCGGTAATAAAGAACGAAAAGTAAACAAATTTGTGAGACCAAACACCCACCTGTACCATTTCACTACCTCGCATCACCGACATTGTTTTCTGCTCAAACTGTGAGCCATCTGTAGCTTCATCTTGCTGTTTATCAGAACTCATGTTTGATACCTTCGCCGTTTCTATGGCTGCTTTGGGGCACAGTTTGGGCAATCCCAGAAGCGCCCTTATCTACATTACTCTCACTCACCAACAATCCTTCCTCAGGAGGTTCCTGTGAAGCAGGTTCTTGTTTCAGCGTGGGGTGAGCTTTTAGTGAATGACCCCTCAATGTTGGTGAAGTCGAGTTTGGTTTATAGAGCGCAGCAGTGGTCTTAACCTTTCTGCCGACAACCACTTGCTCTATTGGACAAGCAACATCTTGCTTTTCCAGGATTTGGGAAGAAAGAATGGAAACTCTCTCTTGAGGCCCATTGGCCCTTCTACTGATTGGGTTGTAGCAACCCTTTTAGCAACATCGTCCTCGGATGACTTTGCTACAACCACTCTACCACCACTCTCCCTCGGGGATTCTATTTGAAACAATTCAACCTTTGCAGTGGATGGCTGTTTCAAATCAATATCGGTCCTTGTCTTCCTGATTGGTAGTTACCGCTGAAATTCTTTGATGCTTTCCTTGAACCTTTTTAGATTTTCCAAAGCCCTTTGTCTTAAAATTGATTCCAGATCCTCACCTGGCAGACTACTGATTGCCCCAGAAACCTCGTTCTTATTTTCATTAACAGAATCAGTAATCCCGATTCCATCATCTTGGCCCGTACAATCTTTTTCCAAAATGTTACGACTATCTTTGAGATCCATGATTAGAACATTAGAAACATAAGCTTCTTCCTCTTTCCCACTCTCTACTTCCATTCTCTTCTCAAATGCAACATCTAAACGATCATCCAACTCCCTCTTGCCCCCTCCATCATTACTATCATTACTCCTACAAGAAGGGTAATCGTCATCATATGTAATCTCTTCTTTGTGCGCATCTGTATCCATCCATCTTCCATGCTCGTTTTCTTCTGCTACCGTAACTACAGATCTCAACCTCCTCGTATTGTTCTCATATGTCACTTTTTCCTCACTCCGACAATCACCACTCTCGCTACGCTGACTGCGTAAAGAACAACTCCTTGACCTATACCTAGCCTTCTTAGTCCCACTTTCAACCTTGTTAATCCCACTGTCATCTCTGTTTCGTTTTCCAGGTCTGCCCCTATGCCTCTTAGATTCAATCTCATCACTGCTAATACTCTCACTAGGACAAGTTGAGCACCTAAACGACGCGCTACTCCTGGAACTAACGCTAGCATTGCTACTAGGCTTCTTCCTCAAATGGGTTTTCTTATCATTCTTCTTCTTTGCCAATTTCCTCTTCTTTCTACGAGGAGAGTCCTCGCTGCTGTCAGGGCTATAAGATCGTCTCCGAGCCCTCTTCTTGCTCCCTTTTGCATCCTTCCTAGCGCGCGATCGAGCCCTTCTACTTCTCAAATCATCATCTGAGCTAAAAGACGATAACGATTCCAAACTTCTTGAATCATCCTCACCGGAATAAGAAGAAGAATCGTCACGACAGCGAAGCTTCTTGGATCTATATTTCCTTGTTTTGGTCTTACTCTTACTCTTCTTCCTTGTTCGAGCCTAAAGCAATCACATACATAAATTAGCATTTAGCATAAAACATTGGTAATCATGAACCAAATTATAAAACCTTAATCTCACACATAATCGTACAAATATATTTGTACAACATTATAGTCAAAACATCATATTTCTTAGCAAACTCCTTATAATGCTGCCTAAAATTTTCGATTTGTTCTTCCAAACCTAAATCGGAAGAACCAAACCAAACAAAGAAGTAATCTTTTAAGCAGGGAAGGAAAACCCATGTAACTAAACAAAAAACGAGAAACCTAGAACACGACAACAACTGATAGAGAGAGAAAGACAACCTCGGAGGAAACCTTGGAGCGCTTCTTGGTACGAGAAGAAGAGGACTTGCCCATCTGGGTTGACACCTGCAACAATCGAAACTGTTAAAAAGCAAAATTCAGATTACAAAGAAAGCGAAAAGAAGGGGGTTGTGCAGAAGTTGGATTGGAGGATTCCGGATTTGAGGATATATATACGTATATACATATATAATATATTTATAGTTCTCTCGCTCTCTCTCTCTCTCTCTCTCTCTCCCCTCCTCTCAAGGATTGTGTGTTACGCTTGGTTATGCCCTAACTTCTTTGTACCTCTCCCTTCTTTAATTGGAAGATCTTTTGGACTTTTGCTTCATGATTATAACCTAACATTTAATTTGACAAAATTTATTATTTTGTTGTAAATATTGGTGGATGAATGAAAGCCCACACAGTAATGTGGACTTCGGAAAAGAATGATAATTGTATTTGCGTAATACTTTCAAAAGATGTGTGATGTGCTTTTCAAGATGTAATTATTACGTTTGTTTGAAGTTGTTCTATAAATTGAGCGCTCCGTGTGTTATCAAAACATACTGCGAAAAGAAAAGATCAATAACATCAACATCTCTACCTCCCTCTTTTATCTTTCATCCTCTTGTTTTATAGTAACAGTATGATATTTTACATCTGCTTCGCTCCTGTCACTAGTAAATGTTATTTCTCTAACATTTGCCTATTTATAACACGTTATCAGCACGACTCTCTAACCAGTTCTCATCTCCCTTCACCGAAAAATGCTTCCTCCAAGGATTTTACTGTTCTTCTTCCTCCTCTGCCTCATCTTCCTGATATATCCTAGTGAAGATCCGCTAGCATCATGTCTGCTTCTAATTCACAATATAACGATTACATATATCTTTGATTTCTTGTTTGGTGTAGTTCCTTATTACTAACCCAATGTTTATTTATGTTAATTTTACTGCAATCAAAGATGGTGCGGTACAATCGCCCATCTTGAACTGTAAATTTAATTTTACTACAATCCAAGATGGTGCGGTATCATCGCCTATCTTGAGCTGCAGATTTAATTTTATTGCAATTTTAGGTGGTACGGTATAATCGCCCATCCTACTCTGCATATTTAAATTTTCCTGTTGTTTGAGTGGTGCAGAATAATCGTCCATCTTATGCTTGCTTCAATGAGAATGGTGCGGTTCAATCACCCTCCTCATTAATCATGTAAATCTCGAGCCTGAAGTTTCGAATCATTTTGGCCTGAAGATCAAAATGAAAAATTTGTAAGAACTAGAAGTTCTAACACTACATCCATCTAGAATACATATTATTGCAAGTTCTTAAACATCTCATTTTTCTTTCTGAAAATTAAAATGGCAAACTTGGCAAAACTTGATTTTGTTGCCCTGGACATTACTGGGAAGAACTACCTAACCTGGGTAGTGGATGCCAAGATTCATCTGAAGGCAGGGAATCTTGGAGAAACAATCAACGAGAAGAACAGTGCATATTCTCAAGATCGGGCGAAGGTAATGATCTTTATCCGTCGCTACCTTGATGAAGGACTAAAGAGCGAATACCTGACGGTTGAAGATCTATTAACCCTCTGAAAGGCACTGAGAAATAGATATAATAACCAGAAAACAGTGATTCTTCCGAGGGCTCGTTATAAGTGGACTCACCTGAGGATTCAGGATTTCAAGACGGTGGCTTAGTAGAATTCTGCGATGTTTAGAATTAGCTCCCAGATGAAACTTTGTGGGAAAAACATCACTGAGGAATATATGCTAGAAAAGACTTTCAGCACCTTTCATGCCTCTAATGTGTTTCTGCAGCAGTAGTATAGAGAGCGAAGTTTCACTGAATATAATCAGCTTATATCTGTGCTTCTGGTAGCTAAACAAAATAATGAGCTTCTAATAAAGAATCATCAATCCCAGCCAACTGGATATGCACCATTCCTAAAAGTGAATGCTGCTTCCCTCGAAATGAACACCACATCTTCTCGTGGTAATAATTACAAATGAGGATGTGGCCACAAGCGAGGTTGGTGGAATGGGAAAGGCAAGAATCATAATGTTTAGTTTCATAACCAGATTCCAAGGCATAATTCAGGTCCAAGCTTCAAGATTGCAAATCGCCATAAATGCAAAGATCATATGAATAACACTCCTAGAAATCCTAAAAAGGTTTGTCATAGGTGTGGTGGCAATTGACACTGGGCATGTACATGTCATACCCTAAAACATCTGGTGGATCTGTATCAAGCCTCCCTCAAGGAGAAGGGTGTCGAGACTAATTTCCTCGACCAGGCTAGACCAATGGATATACATGATCCAGTGTGCGACTTATCAGGGCAGTTGAACACAACTCATCTAGATGTCTCAGACTTCATTGTGGAAATAGGGAATGAAGTGTATCGGTCCGATTGAATAATTTCTGTTTAATGTACTCTTATTATTCTGAACTTGTAGTCTAAATGCTTGCATTTCAAAATCAATAAAAGTGGCATGTCAATTTCCTTTTATTATAAATAAATTAACTGTGATTTCCTTACTCAAAGAGTATGGATAAAAACTATGGTCATTCTCAAAACAAAAGCAATGGTGGAGAAATTTGTCTTGTAGACAGTGCAACCATGCATATAATACTTTGAGATCAAAAGTATTTCTCAAGCTTGATGCTTACAAAAGTAAAGGTAACAACAATATCAAGCCAATCAGATGTAATTGAAGGCTCAGGAAAAGCCCAGATCATGTTACCAAATGGAACAATATTGTCCATACAGAATGCGTTGTACACTACTCGATTTACTCAAAATTTGTTGAGTTTTAAAGACATATGTTTAAATGGATACCACATTGAAATGAAAAGTGCAGAAAATGTAGAGTATCTATGCATTACTTCCAATGATACCCAGAAGCGTATATTGGAGAAGTTGCGTGCTTTGTCGAGTGGATTGTATTATACATACGTAAAGACAATTGAATCACATATTGTCATGAACCAAAAGTTCATTGATTCAAAAATTTACATGATTTGGCATGACCATCTGGATCATCCAGGATCCATCATGATGCGTAGGATCATTACTAACTTTAATAGACATCCATTATTGAGCAAACACATTGCAATCTCAAATAATAACCCTTGCAAGGTTTGTTCTCAAGGGAAGTTGGTAATTAAACCATCATAATTAAAGGTTGATGTTGAATCCCCATCAATTCTGCAAAGAATGCAAGGGGATATTTGTGGGCCTATTCAACCATCTTGTGGACCATTTCGATATTTTATGGTTTTGGTTGATGCATCTACTCGATGGTCACATGTTTGTCTCTTGTTTACTCGAAATGTAGCTTTTGCGAGACTTCTTGCTCAGATAATTAAGTTGCGAGTATAGTTCCCAGATTACCCCATTAAGTCAATCCAACTTGATAACGTTGGTGAATTTATATCTCAAACCTTTGATGATTACTGCATGACATTGGACATTGATGTTGAACACCCTGTTCCTCATGTCCATACTCAAAATGGTTTAGTAGAAGCATTTATCAAGAAGCTTCAATTAATAGCTCGCACTTTGCTCATGAAAACAAAATTGCCAGTTTCTGCATAGGGATATGTCATCTTGCATGCTGCATCATTGGTTCGATTGAGACCTATAGCCAACCACCAATACTCATCAATACAATTCGTGTTCAGGCATCAGCCAAACATTTCACATTTACGAGTTTTTGGTTGTGCTGTTTATATGCCTATTACATTGCCACAACGTACTAAAATGGGACCTCATCGCAAATTGGGAATTTATGTGGGTTTTGATTTACCATCTATCATTAGATATTTGGAACCCTTGACATGTGATATGTTTACAGCTCATTATGTTGATTGTCACTTTGATGAGACATTTTTCTCGTCATTAGGGGGAGAAAACACCATTCTAGAAGAACGGCATGAGCTAACATGGGTTGTACCTACCTTGTCTCATTTTTATCCACATAGCACTTAATGTGAAAATGATTGTTCATCTTCAAAGTATTGCTAATCAAATACCAGACGCATTTAATGATGCTATGAAAATGACAAAATCACATATACCAGCTGTAAATGCACCTGCAAAAATTGATGTCTCTGTTGGACAAAATAAAGTGGTAGCGAATGATTCATCTGGTGCACGTCTGAAGCGTGGTAGACCCTTACGTTTAAAGATTAAGCCCCTCGAAAGAGAAAGACGAGGGCACAACTGAATCCAAATGAAATTATTCAGGAAGAGAAAATGAATGACAAGTCCACAATTCATGATTTTGTACTTTTAGAAAAATAAAATGTCCTTAATGAGACACATGTCCCTGAAGAGACAGAGGTACATGAAAGCAAATAAATCTCCATAAATTATGCTTGTACTAATGAATTATGGGATCGGAATGAAATAATCATCAACGACGTGTTAGCACTCGTAGTAGCCACTGAAATCATATTAATTGATGACATTGAGCCCCGCTCTGTTGATGAATGCAAACAGATACAGGATTGGTCTAAGTAATCCATGCAGAATTAAATTCTTTGAAAAGGCGAAATATTTTTGGACTAGTAGTCCAAACCCCGCCTGATGTAAACCCCGTGGGTTACAAATGGGTATTTACAAGAAAGTGCAATGAGAAAAACGAGATTGCGAGATATAAAGCACGACTCATTGCACAAGGCTTTTCATAAAGACATGGAATTGATTATGAGGAGACATACTCTCCTGTAATAGACGCAATTACGTTCCGTTACCTAATAAGTTTAGTAGTTTTAAAAAAAACTTGACATGCGACTTATGGATGTCATCACCACGTATCTATATGAAGAATTAGATACTGACATATATATGAAAGTCCCAAAATGACTTAAGTAACAAACCATGAGTTATACTCTCAATCAAATTAAGGCGATCATTGTATGGGCTGAAACATTCTGGACGAATGTAGTAAAATCGTCTTAGTGAGTATTTGATCAAAGAAGGGTATACCAACAATGTCATTTACCCTTGTGTGTTCATTAAGAAATCCAATTTTGAATTTGCTATAGTTGGAACCCCTAAAGAGCTCAATAAAACTGCTGAATATCTGAAAAACAAATTTGAAATGAAAGACCTCGGAAAAACAAAATATTGTCTCGGCCTGCAGATCGAGCATTGTGCTAGTGGAATTTTGGTCCACCAATTAGCTTACATTGAAAAAATCCTGAAGTGATTTGGCATGGACAAGGCTCATCCACTCAGCACACCAATGGTCGTTTGTTCTTTGGACATTAAGAAAGA